CAATGAAAAGTGTGCACTGTAGCCCCTTCCTCAGCTTTTCATAATGTATTTTTTCCACTTCTGGTGAACTCTGCTGTTCCTTATTCCGGCCCACTTTTCAACCAATCAGCATTTAACTGATGCACAGTGTCTTCCACATGGGGCACTGCACAGTTGAGATTTTGTTCGATTGCAATGGTGGTTTAAAAACCCGTCTCCAGAGGCAAATACCGACACAACCTTGGTAGCATAAATTAAGCATAAGGCAGATTTCTTCTACTTGGGTGCCCCTCGCAAACAGAAGCTTTGAACAGCAGGTGGAGCTTTTACATCGGAAGTCAGATTTTGGAGCTGCGAGTGATTTCGTACCAAGTAAACCCCATGGCAGGCTTCCAGGCAGTGTGTGGAGTATAACATGATGATTATTCATTTATTTACTGTGCTTAAAAATGGCACCTCAGCACAGAGAGCCTGGTCAGTACCACGTGTATGGTTTATTTAGCAGTCACAAATACAGAACACTGGTTGTAAAGATTACAAGTTCTCACCGCTGCCACCTCGGATTACAAAGGTAGGGTTGGTGTGATGTCTCTGACTTTTTCCGTGGGAAGTCCAACTTGATTCAAGGTTTTAGCTGAAAATTCCAGCTGCAAACTTGAAATTTCCAACTTCTCACTGAAAATGGAATACAGCACGTATCCACGAGATGACCATTTTAAGGGTGTCTTTACCGTCTGATATCAGTTGAATGCAAGAGTAGTAAAGAAGTGTTTGAAACTGAGCGTTTAGTGTAGTCTGAAGCCTAAATGTTTAGTTTGCAGGGATTACTTGTTCATATGCTTACCTCATTCAAACTTTGACTGTTTAAATATGAGAATTAATACAACAGAAAATATGGCACGGAATAGGTCCACTTTAATGTGACTGAGAATGAAGAAACCCAGGTTAGAGTAACATTTGTGAAGACACTTAGCAGCACTCTGAAGTTTATTTAATGCACAAAATGAGTGGCGGTTCTTCATTTGCATCTGCATCAAATATCTCCAAAATGCATGAGAACCCTGCCTTCTCTAACACCTGTAACAAGTAGAGTGTATGTAATAAAGAAGATGAGCAGCACATCTGAAGCCTCAATCTGAGATTTTGACTGTCATCATTTTCATCTTCAAACTGAAGGAGGGTGGATGTGTGTTCATGCAGGAGTGATTGCAAGTTAGGCATTCCCTGATTCATCATCTTTCTCTTTTTTAAAATCCTACTTGGTGCCGTAATTGATAAAATCAATGCCATGCTGCAGTAAATAGGACTTAAAACTGCTGACTGAGATGATAAATTCATTAGGAAGGTTCATAAATTTAGTGAGAACCCATTTGTCTAATGTTGTCTTGCAAACAGGATTTCCCATTAGGAGAAAAAAATGTAGTTTTACTTCACTCTTTAGACCTATAGGCTATGTTGAATTTTTATATACAGTATATGTCTGTTACTGTCTGCAAGATCAGGGTGTTATTAGGACAACACTGACATCGTGTGGTCTGACTGAACTGCAACAGACTACTTTTATGTCAGTCGGCTTTAGGCCATCGTCAGAGCATGTGCTGGTGACGCAGAAGATGAATATCAGACATTTCCATTCAGTCCATCCTTTATTTACAGGAGCGCAGTGCTGCGCTGGCTTCGGCGCCTAATCTTGCGTCCCTCATCGGCTCTTCCCAAGTGTCTCCATCTCTGCTGCTCGCTGCCAGAGAGGATCAGTCCTTCATTGACCCGGTCAAAGCTGGAACAAGCACCTCTGTTTACAAGGTACAATCATGAACGTGTCTGTGATCCTTAATGAAGATGCCTCTGACTCCAGCTAAGTACCGTAAGCATTTTCTTTTTTCTTTTTGTTGTTTTTTTTCTGGTGTCACTAGACGTTGATGGGCAGTGTACCAGACAGAGGAGGACGACCTGGGGAAATTGAGCCTCCTATGCCAGCATGGACAGGGAGAAGCTCGAAAGGCAACAGAGGGGGACGAGGAGGTGGACAATCTCACAAGCATAAGAAGAAGAAAGGGAAAAAAGATTAACTTGTCCGTCTTTTTGGCCTTACTTATCAATTTAAGAAATAAGCGATCATTTTGCTTTATTGAAATCCTTGTTGCGAGGTAAACTATGATTGGGAAGTGCTATATATAATTTTGTAGTTATAAATCTGTGTATAATTTATAGTTATAAGTCATGCACATACCAGATTGTGTACATTTCTATAAAAGCAATGAAGTACTGGTACATGACCAGATATTTTGGTAAAAGTGGCGACTTTTGGTAAAATGTTGGCTTTCCACATTTATCAGTAAGTTTGTTTAAGAATAAACCTCTGAAACACACATCTGTTGGTATTTTGTTCAATTTACATAAAGCATCTTTTAAGGATTATTGCATGAATATTTTATGCTCACTTCACATTTTGGAGACAAGAGTTCCCCTTGCCTTTTTTAGGTGATTTCACAAGATAGCAAACATGTTTATGTGGAATGAAAAAGCCTCACTTACATCTTAAAAAACTGAAAGGTGACTTTGAATATCTAAGAATGTTGTTTTATTGTTACACATTAACCAAGACTCACTTCCCCCTGAGAGAGCTCCTTGTTACAGCATTGAGTCATCTCTCTATTGCCAGTGTTTCCACTTCAAAGTCTAAATTGCCTAAACAAGGAAAAGATCATCCAAATATTAATTATCTTAAATATATTTGGAATAAACTGGTTTCAATGTTTAATTTTGATCTTGCCAAACCCAAAGTTGTGCTAAGGTAAAGCTCATTTTGACCAGAAGTTCTAGTAGTCCACAGTGATGTATTGAAATAATTTCAAGATCTTGTACACCAGTTTAATAAACAACAGTTTCAATTGTTTTATTATCTGAAACTCCACCCTCAACCATCTGAAATCTGCAGATAGTTATGGATTAGATTAAGTAAACTTTAGAAACTGTGAACTTTAGGAAAGGTTATTTTAACATCTGTCTATTCTTCTCTGTTGATTCTTTCTCTTGAGTTTTCAAAAAACCCCAAAAAACATGAGAAAGCGGTTAAAGTCTGAAATTGGATGAGAAAGGAATTCTAGGAATACTGAAGTAACGGCTGATGCAAAGAACATCTTGATCAATTTAAGATTATGAATTGCTTTTAACAAGCTGGGACCACATCCTTATTTCAGTTTGATAACAGCAGATTGAGAAAGCACAAATTGAAGCTGTGGTTTGGGAACGGCCTCAGAGGGGACTGGCTGCAGATCCCAGGCAGATCTAATGAGAAGTGACTGAATTGGGGGAAAAGGGGAGAAGTGTGGGGCATGAAAATGAGTACTAACAGCTTGTGGCGCTGGAGGCATATACCAGTGCATGAGGTGTGGTCCTGCACCTGAAATTCAGATAAATTATCTCCAGTTATTGGACACCATACAAGTTTTGAGAAAAGGGCTGGAAGATGCAAATATATACTTTGCTAAAGAGCTTCTTATTTCTTTCCACCGTTCTGCATTGATGGACGCAACATATCAGGCAGAGTTGAAGTTCCGATTTTAATTGGGAGTAACCAGAATTAACAGGATCAGACGAGATTGTTTCAGAGGGACAGCTCATGTTCAGCAGCTGGAGACAAAGTTAGAGACGCAAGGCTGAGAAGGTTTGGACATGTGCAGAGGAGGGCTAGTGGATATTGAAAATAGAATTACCAGGCAAGAGGGGACCTGAAGATTCATGGATGATATCTGATTTAGAGAAACTAAATCAAATGCAAACAATAATTAACTTATTTTATGACACACATGCGTTCAAATGTGTTTTTTTCTTTTTATTTAAAGTTCTGAATAAGCCTTATGCAGCATTTCGTGGGTAAAAATACATATATATATATACACAGTTTAAAGGACAAAGAAATAGATATGAAGCACAATGTGAGACGGCCTTGATCCTACACGTGAATAATATTATATAACAATATCAAAAACAGCTTGCAAGTAAAAGCAGTCCGGAGTTCATTTTTTTAAACAAATATTGAATAAAGCAAAACCGTTTAAGACTTTGTTGATGGCACAGAAAACAATTCTAACCTTTAGCTTAGGTGAACAACGTAATACGTTACGCAACACTCACCTGGCGGAATCGTCCTTGTTGTGTATCCTGCACACCGGAAGTTACTCGGGAGACAAATGATGTAACACGCGGAAAGTTCCGGATTGTCTAAAGGTCGCTGAATATAAAGCGGCGTGACAGCGTCAGTGTGTATTTATTTAAACCCGCAGGTAAACTTACCTAAGTGTTCAACATGCCGAGAGGAAGCAGAAGCCGGACGTCCAGGATGTCCCCTCCAGCCAGGTAACACTTAGGGTTTAATTCCCTTTTGTTAAAGAAAGGTAGAGTAGATATTTTTAGTTAGCACAAATGCTAACGTTTAGGTAATGTCATAGTGCCGTATGTTAGCTAGGAAAGTGCAGGTCATGAAGTGCTTCAAGTAGCTTATAAGGATAATTTCAATTAAAGCTTAATTGCCGGTTAATCTGGGTATTGCTCAGAAAGTTACTGTGTTATGAAAATGATGAAGGTCATTGTCTTTATCGTGGTTTCCTCTGTACAAATCCCCACATGCTAGCAAAGCCAGTGGAGTTGCATCAGCTTCTATAGTCTTTCTTCTAACCTGCAGCTAAACTGAGACTTTATTCTTCCGAGTTATAACGAAATAAGTCGCACAATGGTTGGAAGTATTTCTGTTTCTCTTCTCCTTGTGGGAAGAATAATCCCTCTTTGCCCTCATTTCTCTTTCACTAAATATATCCGAAACTAAGCTGAATATATAGCTGAAACTAAGAATTGCAAGAACACATTTGACTCTTGGTGCTTAATAATTTGTACCAATGTCTCCACCTGCAAGGCCAAGCTGCTTAGGGAAAGACTGATTATTTTCCACAGTGACATGTTGTTTAAAGTTCACTTTGAACACAGGTGGGCTTACTTTATCCAGCTACGCGATAACACTTTTTCTTAGCAAGTGAAGAACAGATCCCAGGAGGAGACACAAATCCCTTTGTGGTTGCATCAAGAAGAGCATCTGAATATTATTCTCGCTTGTGAATAAGTGATCAGCTGAAAGTAGCTCTTTGTTGTCTTACTAGTGTGGAGATATTCTCTGAATCAGAGCTTCACCTTTATCCAAACTTTCATAAACCTTTGCTGTGATTCAGAGTAATAGCTGGAATAACAGATGTCAGCTCATATCTGTTTTTGATTGTGTTTGGTAAAGTTGCTAAAAAAAGTTCTTAACAAAACGTTTTTGTTACAGCCGGGCTCCACCATCCCCTCCACCTATGGCCCGGGCTGCTCCCCCTCCCTCCTACGCCCCGGCTCCGATGCAGGCGCCTCCGTCCGCTGTCGGCACGCCAGCCGCAGCGCCCAGGCAGCCGGGTATGTTTGCCCAGATGGCGTCTACAGCCGCTGGGGTAGCAGTAGGCTCGGCGGTAGGCCACACAATCGGTCACGCCATGACTGGAGGTTTCAGCGGAGGACACTCAGAGCCTGCCAGGCCTGACGTCACATACCAGGTAAGCCCAGGTTTAGCCAGCCACAGGACTGGAACAGTTTCAAGGAAGATTAGGGTGTCTGAGACACAGTATGCAGGGCCTCTGCAACGTGGAGCAGGTGAAAAACAAACACCACATTTTATGTAACGCATGGAGTTACATGCACTGTGGTAGTTCAGTATAACAGCCAGATGGAAACAATATGATGAAAATTGAGACTTTTAACTAAAAGCAGTGAAGGAATCATCTTGCTTTCATTAAGACTCCTGAGTGTAATCAGTGCTGGTTGATTAAAGATGAATTACTCCCTCTGCTCAATCTGGGTTTGTTTTTTGGTTTTTTTTATGTTTACACATGTGATAAGTTTAATTTGAAAATACAGACACAGCTGCTGCTGAAGGTAAACATCAGTTATGAAAAATATTTGGGGCGTTTATAACCAAAACAAAAGTCCAAAGGTCAAACGTGGTTTATTTACATTCACACAAGTGCAGGGAAATATGCATAATGATGTTTGTCTCATTAACCCTGAACCCAGTACATCACTATTATCTTTATGCATTCATAGTAGATTTTAAGATATGAGTGATGACCAATCATTTACTCTGCTTTTCTTTATGACAAAAAGGACTTGGAAACCACACGCTCTTGAGCAGTTTGAGGATCGCAGTTTTAGATATTTCAGCATTTTTATCGATAGATGTGTAAATAGATTTACTTTGTGTCATTAATGGAAGATATTCCATCTTTGTGATACAAAACTGAAGCTTGTTCTGACATGTTAAACTCTGTTTTGATCTTTGTCACACACATGATTTAATCCTCTGCCTTGTGTGTATTAGGAGCCATACCAGGCCCAGCCTGTGTATCAGCAGGGGGCCCCTCAGCAGCAGCAGCAGCAGCAGGCCTGCTCCTATGAGCTCAGGCAGTTCGTCGAGTGTGCCCAAAACCAGAGCGACCTCAAGCTCTGCGAGGGCTTCAGTGAGGTGCTCAAACAGTGCAGGTTTGCTAATGGTGAGTGAAACACGTCCAGGCTTTGTATAAATGGAGACTGCTTTCTGTCTTATAGTCGTTGCTTTTCATCATTATTAGTAATTTGTAGGGGTGCAACGATACACAAAATTCACGGTTCGGTTCGATACTTTGGTGTCACGGTTCGATATTTTTTT